CGGTGCTGGCCCTGCTCCCCACGCCCCCGGCCCGGCCACTCCTCCCGCAGTGGTCGCCTCCCCCACCTCCGCCCCCCGCCCCGGGCCACGGCTCCTTGCTCCGCCTGGTCCACTCGCGGGTGGGGGATGCCAGCCCAGGGACTAAGGCTTGGAGTCCTCATTCAAGTAATAACAAGTCCCTCACTGCTAAGGTTAGGGTACTGAGGCAGGGGACTTGGGGACTTGTCCAAGGTCACTCAGCAAGTAAGGGGTGAAGACACCGCCGCTCGACCCCAGTCTGGACTGGGTCCGCTCCGGGCTCTGAACGAAGCCCGCCCTACTTTGTACAAGCCGGACTGGACCTGCCTGGCCGCGGGCTCGGGAGCTGGTGCCCTCGCCTTTCTCCGTGTCCCAAAGTCCCAAGGCTCCTTTCCCTCCCCATCCCCACACCGAGGTCCATCAGCGGAGGGTGTAGAGGGGCCGGCCGCGGCGCCTGAGCGCCACTCGCTGGGGAGCTCACCCCCTCTCCCTCCGCGCACCCCTCCCGCCCTGCCTCCCTTCTCAAGGCCTGGGGGGAGGGGGCGAGCGGCCAGGGCCGCTTCTGGGCAGGGCTGACTCGGACTCCAGCGCCTGGAGCAGAGGCTGAGCGGAACCGCGGTGAGCTACGCGCAGAGCGCACGGAGCAAGGGGCGCGCCCCAGGCTCGGCTCCCCGGCAGCTAAAAGGAGAGGTGAAGGACACGAGGCTGCACTTCGCTTTCTTTCTGCTGTTCGGCGCGCAGAGCTCCGGGAGGCGCCCTCTGGGTGACCCCCCTCAGACTCTTACCGCCTCGCTTGCTGTTTCGAGAATCGCATGCAGCGTTTCCTTGTAATGACTTGGTTCCTGCCTCTGTCCTGAGCTGCCAGGGTTGAAAATGAATAGATGAATGAAAGGCAGTGCATCTCTACTCTACATCCTCCCCACCCCACTTCTCCCCATCCCTGCGCTAAAAATAGCGGGAGGTGACCCGAGGCGACTGGGCAGGCTGCAGGCGCCCCACCCCCCCACGCACACACAGGAGGGGGCAGGGGATGTGCTCAGGCAGTGTTTGGGACCTCCGCCTGTGTACCTGGTGGTCAGGACCACCTGAGCTGGGCTGCAAGGTGACACCAGCCATTCACAGCTCTGGTTTCTTAGTGGCCCTTGGGCACACCTCGGGACCGAGATTGGGTGTGACCCTTGCACGACATGTCACCAGAAACTTGGGGACATCCACCAAATGGCTCGTGGGTGGCCACCCACGCAGAGTTGGAAGCCCAGCGTTTTCTGGGGCAGTCTGCGGGGGAGGGGGGCTGGCGGGAAGATGGCCATGGCTCGGGGCTGCGGCTCGGGGCTAGCGGGCTGCTGGATCCCGCCCGCCTATTACAGCCATTACCGGGGTGCTTCATCTAGCAGCGGCAGGGAGCGGCTGAGTGAGGCTGCGCCAGGCGCCCCGCTCGCCTCTTGGGGAGGAGATCTTATTTCTCGATTACGTGCCCACTCTGAGTCAGCCGGCACTTGCCTTCCTGCCTGCCTCCCCCCACCCTCCCCTTCCAGCTTCTGGCCTGTGGTCGCCCCTCCCTGCGACCTAAAGGATCCATTTGGTCAGATGCCAAAACTCCAGTAGCCCTAGAATTAAAAAACTCCTTGAATTTAAAAAAAAAAAAAAAATTAAAGAGTCCTCGTACCTGGCTGACTCCCTTCCAGCCCTGGGGGTCCCTTTGTTCCCGGGGGCCCTCCGCTCATCGTGGTCCGAGCACGTCTTCAGACCGTTTCCTCCTGCGATTGGGCGCGGACGGTCTCCCTGGGGGGTTGTCCCTGGAGCCTACCTCGTGGCCTCACTTTCTCTCCGTCCCCCTCCCTCGCCCCGCTGCCCCACTCCAGGTGTTGCCCACCAACCCTGAGGAGAGCTGGCAGGTGTACAGCTCCGCCCAGGACAGCGAGGGCAGGTGTATCTGCACAGTGGTCGCCCCCCAGCAGACCATGTGTTCGCGGGATGCCCGCACGAGACAGCTGAGGCAGCTCCTGGAGAAGGTGAGTCTGTGTGCGTGTGGGGGGTGTGTGCGCGTGGGGGGTGTGTGCGCGTGCGCGAGTGCACGTTTGTGAGTGTGGGCGCCCACGCCAGCTCCACGGCGGGGCTAGCCTGCGGGGTCTGTCCCAGCCGCAAGGCCTCACTTTCCTCTGGCATGTCCCCCTGGGAACGAATGAATGAACGAATGAACGAGTCGGTGGACTCTCCCCAGGGGTGGCTCAGGGGATGACCAGGCCTTCCTGGTCACTGCGCCCGACTGAGGGGCCACGTGGGCCTAGCCAGAGGGGGTTTTACCGTCATCTCTCCGAGTGGTGCTCGTCACCTGTAGTCCTGAGGGCACCGTCACAAGCTGCCTGGTTCCCTCTTGGATTTGACCTGAGGGGACCTTTTCCCTGCCTTCGAGTGGCTGGACCCGGCGCATGGCCAGGCCACGCGTTCCCCACAGTGGCTGTGCTCCTGGCACAAAAGCAGATTAAGTCGTCACCTTTGTTACCCACCTGGGGACAGCACCGGGCGGTCCACGTAAACGTTTCTATCCATTATTTCACTTAAACCTCACGAGAACTGCGCGAAGGTGGTGAGATTTTCACCCCATCTCAGGAAGTGGAAGTTTGGGTCGGGAGAGAACCGACACCCCACGCCAACTGCTCACGCCCCGGGTCCGAGCTGCCCCCTGGCCTGGGGGCACCGCCACCTCACCTCCTGGCACCTTGTGCCCCAGGAGCCCCGATTCTCAGACGCCCGCCTGTCGGCATCCCTGGGACTCACTGAGGGAAGAAGGAGAAGTGGGCGTGGCCTTCTGTGCCACTCATCGCCGTCCCCCGAGGATCGGGGGCCTTCGTGTGGGACCGTTCACTTCCTGAGAGCAGGGCCCCCCCAACACTCACCGCCCACACAGGAACACACGTGCACACACGTGCTGCACACAAATGCTCACACCTCACACACGGAGAAGTACACACGCCGCACACAAATGTGCATACTCACACACAAACACACTGCACACAAATGTGTATACTCACACACACAAATACACATACCATACACACACTGCACACAAATGCCTGCATCTCACACACAAATACACACATACCATACACACACTGCACACAAATGTTTACACCTCACACGGAGAAGTACACACACTGTACACGCACTGCACACAAATTCACACACCTCACACACAGAGAAATACACACACTGCACACAAATGCCTGCATCTCATAAAAATACACACACTGCGCACAAATGCCTGCATCTCACACATACAGATACACACACTGCACAAATGCATACATTTCACACACACAAATTCACACATACCACACACATTGCACACAAATGCACACACCTCTCACACACTGCACACAAATGCACACACCTCACACACACACACCAGCGAAGCCGTGGCCTTTCCACCACTGAGGGGGATAAGAGGAGGCCTGTGTGGGGTGGGGCCGTGTGCGGGGAGGGTGGCCATCGGTGCTGCCCTCCAGGCTGGAGGAGGCCAGTGTCCCCGGGCCAGGGTTAGTATTGTTCAGTTCGAGCCCAGCTCGACCACAAACCCTCGGCCAGGCAGGTCCCTCCTGGACTCAGCTTCCCAGACTGGCCCGGTCACCAGTAGTGGACCGGGCCTGGGGAGGGGCCTGTGTCCCTGGGGGGAGGCCGGGACGCCGGTTCCTAGGTCCTGCCTCCCATGGGGAAAGAGCTCCTTCATTCTTCAGCCACCCAAGTGAGTCTTTTAAAAGAGTTGAAGTAAAATGCACTTAACAGGCATCTATTAACACCAAACTCGACCAAAGCCCGATTGAGCCTTTAATTATTCAGAATCATAGTGGAGGGAGGTGGGGCTTGGGGGAGCCTCCGGGGCTCCTGGGGACAGCATCCGGGCGCTGAGACCAGGGCCTTCAGCTCCCGGGAGGTGACTGGAAGCAGAATTCGGTTCCAGAAAGCTCAAGGAGCCCCGGGGACAACAGGCCTTTCTGCCACTTACACACAGCATTCTGCTTAAACGTTTACAGGCGTGTTTATGCCCTGGTGGGCACTCAGTCTTCAGAGGGCAGAAGCCTCTCCGCTCAGTGTGCTCTGTGTTGTGCAGGCTCAGGGCGTTCACCCCTCCCTCCCTCCGTGTCATGTGACCTCCCTCTCTCCTCTCCTCTCCCTGCTCCTCCTGGAGGAGCCGGGGAGGGGCTGGGGCAGGGCGAGGCCCAGACTGGGCCGGGAAGGGGCCGGGGCAGGGCGAGGCCCAGACTGGGCTGGGAAGGGCAGGAGCCAGGGAGCATCGTCCGGTTGCATTTCTGCACAGCGGCTTCCTGTTAACAATCCACCTGCAGAGCCGCCAAAGGTGGAGCCTGGCTTTGATTTTCTTGGGGGGCCCAGAGTACTTGGAGGTGCGGGAGGTCTTAGCACAGCAAAGCTCCCCCCACGGTTCCGACCTGTGGCTAGGGTTGAGGACAGTTGGAGACCCTCGGGGAGCGAAAGGCGGGTGGGGGGCTCAGCCGCCGGGCTTCTGAAAAATGGTATGTAGCTGGGCTTTTGAAAGTGTGGGCTTGGGAACCAGGCCGGGCTCTGAAGGGTGGCTGACCTCTCTCTGTGTGAGGGCGGACAAGTCATCAGCTTCTCTGAGCCTTGGTCTCCCTGTGTGTAAAATGAGACTAGAAATAGCGTTCGGCTCCTAGGGTGAGAAAAATAACTCTACAGGCTGAGCACAGTGCCTGGAACATTGAAACTGTTTCGTGAACATTAGCAGTTACTTATTCCCTCGAGGCCAGGTGCACAAGGCTTGGGGGACTGTGTCATTTGGTAGCTGTGTGACCTTGAGCTGACTTGTCGGGTGGCTTTTCGGGGACACACCTGACGGGTAAGAGTGGAGGCGCTCAGAGAAGGGGGTACAGACCGGTGATCTTCTCGGGGGTGAGACAGTGGGAAGCAGGTGAATCTTCAGGCCCAGTTGTCCGTCCACTTTGCCATTGGCCAGGAAGGGAGGGACTTCGGGGTGGTGGGGGATCGAGTGGGGAAGGGGAAGAGCTGTAGGTGCAGAGGGCGCATGTCTTGTAAGGCAACTGAGTTGCTTGGTGTCTTTCAAGTATGTTTTCTAAATATAAAATGTAGCCTTTACATTTCTGCACTCGTTAAAAGCATCGCTCCTCTGGCGGATGAGAAGCCACAGTGCTGTGTGCAGCCCCGTTAGTGGGGCGAGACTCGAGCCGCTTTGCGGGCTCAGCAGATCGTGGCCGACGGCCTCGGGGGTTTCGCCTTCACGTCAGGGGTCTTGGGGGGAGGGCGTCTTGACTGGGGGCACCATTTATGTCCCTTTCTCCCAGCCACAGGGCTGCAGAGGGCGCTCCTGGGCATGAGGTGCTGAACCCTGTGCTGGGGTAACGGGGTGAGCAAGGCCCAGTCCCCCTCCCTCCACGAGTTTCCCAGCCAACAAGGTGATCGAGACAGGTGTGTGGGCTACCGCTGCGAAGGCATCGTGCTGACAAGGTGATGTTTCTGAGCCGTAAGCAGCCCCTTCTGGCTTGGCTCATCAGGGAGGCCTCCCTGGAGGAGGTGCCCTTTGGGCTGGGCCTTGAAGGATGACGGAAACAGACGTTCTAACGTTTCTCAAAAGACATGCTGCAGTTATTGAAAGTGACAGAATAAGACAGGCAGGGGGACAGGGAGACCTCAGGTAACAGAGCAAATATATTTCGGTTCCCATGAAAGGGCTAAACAAAGACAGTCAAAGCCGCCCACACGTTATGCCACACGAACCCGATTCTTGCAACAGCATTTGTGTATGTCACTTTCAAATGACGAGTCATGAAATTCCAGGCCTTTTTACACGCCGAGGAGAACAAGGGCCGTCCCTCTTCTGCAGAGAGGCCGGTTGTCTCTCTCTTTAATTTAATTTAATTTTATTTTATTGGGGGGGGGGTCGCACAGTACAAAGTGGAAGCCACACGACCGTCTCGTCTTCACTGACCAGGCACAGCTAAGCCTCACGCCCACGTGATGTCGTTCCTGAAAGCCCGAGTGTTTTCAAATTCAGCAGAATCTCAGGAGCGAAGATTGGCGGTTATGGACACGCTGTCCTCCCTCGTGACTGGATCAGACTCTGAGCAAACGCCACTGCGGCAAGCCTGAGCACCGCTGCCACCTCCCCACCACCCCGAACACGCTCGCACAGGCTCGCGAGCCAGTTTCCTGAAAATAAAAAGCACTGGCAGGTGGCCGCACGAAAGCTATTTTTCTTTTAAGCTCCCCGGAATCCTGTTGAATATTAAAGTTCCATCTTGAGGCTCGACTCAATTCGGATCTGCCCGTAAGGACGTAACGTAGCGATTCTTCATTCGCCGGGTGATTGATTCCCGACTCTAGGTTCTGGGCGTACATGTTTGCAGAGCAGTCATCTCCCTGTGATGTCGCTGGGTGTGATGGATGGCGTAGGGGACGGAGGAACGAGAGCTGGCTGCCGAGCCGGGGCGAGCAGGCCCCTTGTGCCTTCGTCTTGCACGTAGGCGACCAGCCTTCTCCGAGAGACACCCAGGAGGCTGTGCCGGGGGTGGGGGAGGCCCCACCGTGCCGCTCACCTTCGTCTGCCTGACCAGTTTCATCCTGCAGAATGAAGAGACTAGGAACCATCCCCACCCCCCAAAAAATAAAAATAAAAAACAAAGGAAAAAAATCACGCGAAGCCACGTGCCTGGCGCCGTGGCCAGCGGGGACCTGGTTCGCGTCTCTGGCTGTAGGAACACGGGCGGGAGGAGGCAGAGGGGATGTTTACCGGACCCATTTGCTGTGCGTGGAGACCGCTTGGTCTCCGATGATGCTGGCGATTAACTCGTAAATAATGCACGGGCCTCTCCTGGTGCATTAGGAAGCGGATGAGATCGTCTGGCACCTGCCGCAGCTCCTTCCCTGAACCCGTTTTCCTGTTGCCTTTTGGACAGGTGCAGAACATGTCCCAGTCCATCGAGGTCCTGGACCGGCGGACTCAGAGGGACTTGCAGTACGTGGAGAAGATGGAGAACCAGATGAAAGGGCTGGAGTCCAAGTTCAAGCAGGTGGAGGAGAGTCACAAGCAACACCTGGCCAGGCAGTTCAAGGTACGCGTGCCCTCCTCCCCCTGCGGGAACGGCGGGGCCCTGGGGGGGGCCCTGCGGGAAGCGGGCGGCCTCCCCTCTCCTCGGTGTGGTGAAAGACACCTCCCAGGGGAAGCTTAGGCGGTGGCCTTCAGATCCCGTTTGTCCCCAAGGCCGGGAGTCCGGAGCTTCCCCAGCCAAGTCACAGATCAGCTGGGAGGCGACAGGATGGGTGCCCATCATTCCACATTAGCCGAGGATTAGCTTCGTTGATTAGGGCCGATTCTGAGCAGGGACCGCTCGGGGCCTCTTTTCACATCTGACCTGATTTAGTCATGACGCAGGGAAGAAAGAGACGCCACCCCCTTTCTCCCGGCGCCGTAAGTTCTTTTCTCTGGGTCACTGGACGATGAAGCCGGGGTTTGTTTGGCCTAAAATTATATATACATATGTATGAATATGTATATATATGCTTAGAGTTGACACAGCTTCAAAACGACTAAATCGAGAACTCATCTGCACCTTAATTAAGGTATACATGCATGTTAATTAGGAATGCGGCCCAGATGTAAACGAATGGGTCACATCACGAGAAATTGCTGACGCCCTGCCTCCCTGTCCCTCTGATGCTAATGCTTCCCTTTGATGTGCGCCCTGCATGAAGCGAGGACGAGTCCGCTTTTCAAAGCGGTACATTATAGAGACGAGATGGCAAGCTAATGAAGTTAGAAATCTATATTATAAATAAAATAACAGCAGGCCTGGTCCTATGGGGGAGAAATGAGCCATCGCTCTGGTTGGAGGCAGGTGGACACATTGTCCTCGCTTCTGATGCGTCATCAGGGATGGTTCTGGAAAGACGTTTTGACCCGCCTGACCCGAAAGAGTCTATGCCTCTCTTTGAAAGGCCAGGGCTCCCTTCTCAGGGCAGAGTCAGTCCCTCGAAGACGAGGGTGTCTTCTGTGACCCGAGCCAGCGCGTCTCTGCAGGCAGGCTCCATCCCCACGGCCACCTCTCTCCCGGGTCCCAGACCGGGGTCCCTGTGTCCCTCGGGGAAGAAAAGCCGTCCCGCCTTCTGCCCTGCTTTCGTCCCATTCACACATGCGCAGGAATCGGTGTGCGGGGGCCTGCGCAACTAACTAACTAGCTAACTGTCAAAGCCGTTCGTCTGGGCTGACTCTAGCCCCGAAGTGTGACGTTTTTCTTACGTGACCATGAAAATATCTGTCTCTTAATGGCTGTCTGTCTAAGGCAGGCTAGTGAGGTAGCTCCTCAACGGTATTTCGTTTTCTTGCTTGCAGGGCTAACTTAAAAGCGTTTTTTCAATGCTGCAGTGACCGAAGAAGCAATGCATTCCCATGTAACCATGTCAGAGGGCCAGACAGCTTTTTGCTCCCTGCATTTTTACTTTTACTTTCCAACACTTAGCACCATTTCCCTAAGGAACCTTGCAGACAACCAGGATCCTCTTTTGCATGCGACTGTAGATGCATTTCATGAATACTTTGAACCCTTGTCAATGCATTTTTTGAAAAAGAAAAAAAAAAAAAAGAAAGAAACTTTGTGTATGTGACTTCAAGCATGTAACCTTAAGATGTTGCATTCTAACTGACAATAAAGACCTTTCCCAAATACGATGGTGTTTCTGAAGACTGTTTAATATACTCTTGTACCTTTTTTGGACCGGATGATAAGCAGAGCTCTGCCTAAGGCAGGAAGGCACAGTTCCCGTCACCTAGGGAGGGGCCAGGCCAAGGCAGGATGTGACACGTTTTTGCACGCATCGCACTGAACCTAGCTTATTTTAACCTTGCAGGCAATAAAAGCGAAAATGGATGAACTTAGGCCTTTGATACCTGTGTTGGAAGAGTACAAGGCCGATGCCAAATTGGTTTTGCAGTTTAAGGAGGAGGTCCAGAATCTGACGTCAGTGCTTAACGAACTGCAGGAGGAGATTGGAGCCTATGACTACGATGAACTGCAGAGCAGAGTGTCCAGTCTCGAGGAGAGGCTCCGTGCGTGCATGCAAAAGCTAGGTAGGCCGGCACCCCGCGGGGCTCGCGGGCAGGCTCAGGGACCGGTGCTGACGTGGACAGCGCCTGCCTGGCTTCCGGTGGCCACGGCTGGATTAGGGCCGCTGGGTAGGGCCACCCCGAGACAGAGAGAGAGAGGAATGCAGGCTGCATCCAGGTGAGGGCTTGTCCCACCCCACGCAGAGGCCAGCTCACAGACCCCTCCGAGTCGCACGTCTGGACGAAAATAGGGGGATGTCAGATGTTGCAAGCCCGCTGCAGAAGGTGTATGCGTGCGTGCGTGCGTGCGTGCGTGTGTTGGGGTGAGCGCTAACGACGCGATGGCTGAGGGCCGGAGGTGTGCATCTGGGGTTCCCTCCGGGGTGAGAACGAGGAAGCTGCCCAGACACTGCACCGCACGTGGTTTGAGTGTATCACACCTGTCACACACCCGCAGCGCCAGAGCTGGCTCGCAGGCATGAAGGAGCCCCCCCAGCCCCCGCAAAGCAGCCTGGGAAAGCCGGAACCCCTGAGCCCCCCTGCTCCTCGCTCCATCCCTGTTTCCTCAGAGGACCCTCCGTGCGGGCGGCATCCCTTAATTATTCGTGCTCAAACGCCGCTTGCCTTATGACCTTCCCGCTAACTGCTGTGACAGACCTGACACGTTCGTGTCTGAGTTCACCTTTAAGGAGCACGTGTTCGATCCCAGTTCCAGTCTTAGGATTTCCTGACAGACACCAGCTGGCCCTTCTCGCCACCGTTTTAAAACCACATTCGTAGCGGGCACTTTTTCGGGTAACTCGGGGTCCTTCTGCTTTACGGAGAAGCGTCCCTTTGGGTTTGATCCGATGCTCTCACTTGGTCCCTTTTCATCCCGCTGACCCCCACGCATGGGCACGCCAAATGCCTCCTTATAAACTTAAAACACCCCCAAAGAACAGATGCTCTTGAGACCCCAATGCTGCTGTCGGAGGGAGGGAGAGAGAACATGCACAGGGCAAGGAGCGGAGTCGGCAGCCTTGGGTTCAAGGGGTTCCCGTGCCTCGACGGTCTTCGGTGCCGTTCCAGGCACCCCGCAAAGGCACACGCTTTCAAGTTCCCCGGTCCTGGACAGAAGACAGACACACGTCGGGGCTTCGAGGGTGAGCGCGTTTTAATGCGCGCACTCTAGCCGGGTCACGTGACAGAGGGGCTGCCGCGTGTTTTCAGGGATGGGCTTCGTGGCGCCCAAGTCCTGGAGTGCCAGGAGCTGGGTGACCTGGGACGGTCCCAGGGGGTCAGGGCCGGACGGCCTCCACCAGCCCTTTCCATCTCCACGTTCCCGGAGTCGGTACGATGTGTGAGAGCGTCATTAATGACGACGGGGCTACGTGATCATTTCTGCTGGGCACAGTCTGAGTTTCTGGCCAGAATGACCCCGGGCTCCCCATCCCCAGTCTCTCTCCCGACCCCCCAAGCCTTCCTACAGGGGAGCGGGGGAGATCTCTCGGCCTCTGAAGAATCCTAGGTGGGGGGCTTTGTTATTTATCGTCCACGAGCAGTGATTTTCCTCTCTGGTGCACGGGCCGTGTAGACCAGGGAGAAACCAGATTAAACCCCCACATCTTCCAATTCAGAGATCAAGGAGGAAAATAGAAATTCAGAGCAAAAAGCCACAAAGGGTGAGAAGCTAAGGGTCTTTCCAAGGGCGGCCCCGCCCCCAGGACGGGCAGCCTTCCCGTCTGTGCCCAGCCTGTGCTTCGAAGCTGGATGGATTTACCTCGTGGCTCAGGGTCGTGGGGCCTGTCCCACGGTTGTCATCGGGCTGCCGCAGGGTGGATGGGGAGAAATGAGACGATGACCAGGCCCTCAGAGGCCGCGATCTCCTTGTCACCTCCGCCGGTAATCATTGCTTCACAAGACCTTGCCATGTGGGCCGGCCACTGAGTCAGAGCGTGCAGGTGGGACCCCAGACCCGCATGCAACCAGCGCCCGGTTGATTCGGATGAATCAAGAGATGGGAGCCACAGCCGGGGAGCCGTGACGTGACGCAGTCAGTGCCACCCCCGCTCCATAGCCGCGTGGCTCTCTCAAGGTGCTGCCCGCCTCAAGGCCTGGTAGCTGCCTCTTTGTCTGTAAAATGAAGGCATAGGAGTCCCTTTGCCTGGGGTCCCTGTGTGAGCTCACAGATGTCATTCACGTCATGGGCTCCTCACTGTGCCAGGCAGAGTAGTGGTGGTAGAATAGGTAGGTAAGTGGATGGATGGATAGATGGAAGGATGACAGATAGATGGTAGAGATGGTAGGTAGGTAGGTAGATGAGTCGATAGATGATAGATAATAGACACACAGGTAGATGATAGATTATAGACAGATGATGGATGATGGATGGGTGGATGACAGATGATGGATGATGGATGGGTGGATGACAGATGATGGATGACAGGCAACAGGCTGACAGGTTTAGCGGCTGCCGCTTCTCCCTTTCTCTAGGTTTTCATTCAAGCTCAGTAACTTAAGGACCCAGTTACTGCCCGTGGCTTCTTAGTTTGGTCTTTATTTTAGCCTTGCTGACAGGTGCCGCCGTAGCAGCCTGCTTCTGAGCTGAGGCTGCGGACCAGCACGGGGCAGGGGGCCCTCGGCCGTGGAGCCAGGTGTGCCGACAGCTGCCCTGTGCGGGCGGGGCTGCGCACGACGTAGCGTCTCGGTGGCCGCGGTGCGCACAGCTCTCTGTCACCTTTGTGTGTGACACGAGGGCCCCCCTGTGGTCCCCCAGAGGTGCCTTAGTCAGGCCTCTCTGTGTTACAGCTTCTCTTCGAGCTGGTGCTGCTGGCGACTCCTGATCTCAGACTAGACGTAGAAAAAAGCGGATCTCATTGGTTTTCTGTTTCCATTTTAAAATCCCTCTCTCCGTGGGACTGTATTTTTCTCCTGACGGCCCAGCTGCGAACTTGAATTTGATACTCTTCTAGACCTCTGATACCTTCCGGCAACTTTCTCCCCGGTTTTTAAGGGGTAAAAACCGGGACAGGGGAAGTGGCCCTGGAGGCCGGGGGGTGGTCCCGGGGCCCAGTCTCCCTGCTGCGGGGCAGCCAGCCCCCTCAGCCCGGCCTCTGGCCCGAAGTCCTTGGTGGGCATGTCCGCCCGGACCTGTCCCTGTACCTTGGTGACCATCCTGGCTGTCATTCAGAAGGAACCTCCTTCAAGGAATAGCGAGAGACAGGTGACCCCGTCCGCAGGACCACAGCTCTGTCCAAGCTTCCCGCTTTGCCAGGCGCCCTCCCTCCTGGCCTCTTGGGGCGGCCGGACCCTTCCGGCTGGAGCGCAGCCCCTGCGAGATGCGCCTGCTTGGGGCTGCTTCCCGGCCTCTTGTCCTCTCCTCTCTCCTCCAGCCCCACGCGTGCACCCCGAGCACTCGTGACGAGAGAGGGACACTTTCGTGATCCGAATGTGCCAAGGCCGCACCGCCTGGCTCTGCCATGGGGCATTCTTAGGTCCTGTCAGTTCCCAAGGTCTTGGCAGAACCAGTCTGGATGGAGAACCAAACATAGCTCCGCGACTCCAGACCCCGGGCCGGGAGCGCGGAGCCTGCAGCCAGCCGCTGGACCCTTCTCTGCCCATTCTAATTCGTGGCTCGAAGGCTCGGCCAGGGGCTGGGAGACAGTGGCGCTTGGCCCCAAGCCCGGGAGACCTTGCCCTGCAGGGCGGGGCTGGTGCTGCTGCAGGTCAGACCTGGACTGCCGCCAGCTCCCCTTCTCTGCGGCCAGCGAGGACAAGGGGGTGGGGTTCAGAAGGGAGAGGTCTCCGGAAGAGGCATCAGTTTGGGCCAAGCCACGGGTGACAGGTGGGAGGCGGGTGGCATTCCGGGGGGGAAGGGCTCGAGCGAAGGCAGGCAACCTGGGCTCGTGGCCAGGCACCTGAGCCGAGTCGGGGTGCTGGCCTGCCATCTCGGCCCTTCAGAGTGTCTGGTCGTCCAGCAGACTGGGCTTGGGACAGGGCTTCGGTGAGTGGACATCACAGTGAGAAGTGGCCGGAACCCACAAAGCGCTGTGGGAGGAAATCCAGCAGGCTTTTGACCCCTGATGCCGTGGGGGCGACGGCTTCTTGGGCTTCTCCCTCCGCTGTCCACTTCCTCGGGAAATTCACGGGGGCTCAGTGCCATCTTAGTGGGTGCTGGCCTCCGGGCAGCGGGGAAGGGCCAGAGGGGCTGCTGATGGTGAGATATGACCCCTGTGTCACCCAAGTCCCACCCAGTTCAGGGGGTCTGCCATCCTGGGGGGCAGCCCAGAGCCCCCATCCCCCACCCCCCGCCAGGGCCAGTAGGAACAAAGAGAGTACAGAGGGACCAGCCTGGGCCTCGCCTCTCCCATACCCTCCCTCAGGGAGCCCCACCCCCACCCCCCAAGAGGGTGAAAAATTGGCCCAGGAACCCCCCTCCATGAGATTTCCAAAACCCACCCACTTTCTTCTTGCTTCTAGTGGCTGTGAACGCAGGTTAACCTTGGACGTGACCTCCAGCCCCCTTTCTGCCCCATCTCCCCTCACACGGATGCGGGAGGGGTGGACAGGGCTGAGCACACGTGCTCTGGTGTTCAGCCGGACGGCGGCCTGGGGCTGTGAGGGGGCAGTGTTCATGTGGGAAGGCCCGTTAACACCTCCTGAAGGCAGAACAGGGCCAGAAATTCGGGGAAGAAGGAGGCGAGTAAAAATAGTCGTGGCGTTTCTTTTCCGAATCTGGGCCAGGGGGCAGGGCTCCGGGAGCTCGGAGCGGAGCGGCGCACCTCCGTGGGGTTTGGGTGCAGAGCCAGCCTTCCTTCTGATTGCAGCCGGCGGCTCTTACTCCCGCCCCAAGCTGCCAAGTCACCCAGAGCAGGTTCCGCCAGGTGGCACCTGGCTCTGGGCAAGGGGTCTGGAGGGCCCACCCTCCCAGTCTTGTGTGACGCTGCCAGTAGACAGACTCACCCCACTGGAAGTTCTGGGAGGGAGGCACCCCAAGCGTGCAGAGGTGGGCTGGGCCACGCCTCCCCCGGCCAGCCTGCATGTTGCAGGCTGTCCCGGCTAAGCCGAGGTCCCTGGGCTAAGCCGACAGTCTCCCGGAGGCACCCGGCCCTCTCTGAACTTTGTAGGCTGCTGTGCACATGTGCTGAGTTGGTGGCAGTTGAGCGGTGCCGTGCGGGCCTGGAAATGACATGCAGGCCTGGCCTGCGGGAAGGGAGGACAGTACAGAGGGCACGTGTTCCCACGGGGAAGCCGCCCCTCCCACTGGAGAGGGTGGCCTGCTCCTGCGGCCCGGGGCCTGGCTGGCATTCGGCTGGTTACCGTGCGGGACTTCCGCGGCCATTCGTACGAGTGGGCGGTGGGTGGTGGGCGGGAAAAGTGGGCTTTGCAGGTGCGGCTGCCTCCCTGGGCCCAGGTGTGAGGCCCATGGGCTGTGGGAGGGGCAGAGGCTGAGTCGAGGATGCTGGGTTCCAGCTTCGGCCGTGCCTGTGTGCCAGCCTGGCCCTGAGCACGCCCACCCGGCCTGCAGCCTCCATCCGCGATGGTCACACACAGTGTCTCGTCCATCCTGATGCTCCCCAGTCTGTCAGAGCCCAGCTCTCCGGCCTCCAGGGCCCTCCGGGCAGGAGACCCTCCCACCCTTGGGGAAGGCTCATGGCTGTGGGGGGGGGCGGTGTGGGGGCCTGCTCACTGACCAGAGGGTGCAGAGGGGGCCGCTCTTTGCAGGGAAGTGCACTGTCCTTGGGCCCGATGAGCGGATCTGAGCGGCACAGCGTCCTGCCTTGAGCCTGACCATGGCCAAAGCTGTGGGGGGCCTCAGGGCTTTCTCTCTAGCTGCCTTCGGGGCCCGGGCAGTGCTGGCCCCGTTTTCCACGGGGAAAAACCAAGTCTTGCAGGATGCCATCCCCCGGCCAGAGGCGCTGCTCTGGCACCACCGTCAGCCCCGTGGGGAGGGAGGGAGGGAGGGAGACAGCGTCCTGCCTTGAGCCTGACCATGGCCAAAGCTGTGGGGGGCCTCAGGGCTTTCTCTCTAGCTGCCTTCGGGGCCCGGGCAGTGCTGGCCCCGTTTTCCACGGGGAAAAACCAAGTCTTGCAGGATGCCATCCCCCGGCCAGAGGCGCTGCTCTGGCACCACCGTCAGCCCCGTGGGGAGGGAGGGAGGGAGGGAGGGAGACCCCGAGGGCGGTGCCCCTCCCCCGGCTGCCTGGTCTCCGTTGCTCCCCATTTGGGGCTGGGGCCTTCGCTGCTGCTCAGCAGGCCTCCCAGACCGATGGACAGAGGGCACCCTGCACCCTCGCCCAGCGGGCCCTCGGGTTGGCCCAGGCACTCAGTCTCTGCGCTGTGGCTCTCTTCCAGCCTGTGGCAAGCTGACGGGCATAAGTGACCCCGTGACCATCAAGACCTCCGGCTCGAGGTTCGGGTCCTGGATGACGGACCCCCTGGCCCCAGAAGGTGATAACAGGGTAAGTGCCCCTCATATGGCCCGGCTCGCGGTCTTGTGGAGAAGGGTCCGCCCTACCGCCCCCCACCATCTCCGTCCCCCACCGTCTCCGCCCCCACAGGTCTGGCTCTCCAGAGGGCCCACGTACGTGCACCTGCCCCAGGGACTGATGGGTGCACCTGCCCCAGGGACTGAGCGGGCCTGGTGCCCCCCGGGGGCTAGTCCTCCCTTGCCGAGGCCACTATGCCAAGCAGAGACACAGACCACAGACGGCCATGAGGATGGTGGTGGCCAGTGACAGAGCAGCGGACCCCTGCCCGCCCTCCTGGGGCCAGGCGGGCACTCAGAGCCTGAAACCTCTCAGACATCCCCGCCTGCCGCCTCTGCTGCAGCAGGAGAAGCCATTAGGCCTTTCTTGTTTTAATGACATCTCATTTGTATTTCATTTGCCATTCCTTTCATGGCTGATGGAATACTCGTGTTTCTTTTTGATTTAGGAAAGAGGCCATGTTCTTTCTCCTAGACTTCCCCATCCCCCACCCCCACTAGCCCCCGGTTAATCACAAAAAGAGAGAGAAACGAGCACCACGCTTGTCCCCATTCGGGCCCGGGTCCCGTTGTTTGAGCCTTTGAAGTGGGGAGACGAGGGGTGGCAGGCTGAGTGGGGGACGCTTGGCCCGCTCAGTCACTGCATGTTGTGACAGCATCATTTTGGAGCCTCTACCAAGGGAAGATTCTGCCCCAGGTTCCTGGTGGATGAGAGAAGCTGCTTGGGCTTCGCTGTCCCTTGGGGTCCCCAGCCTGACAGCTGTCACCCAGAGTGAGCAGTCCAGCAGTCTGGGGCATTTCTTGTCAGCCCTCTGTCCTTCAGAGCACTGCAGGACGTTTAGAAAATAACCCTTTAAAAAGCCTCAACCCGTTTCTGGAGCCGGGGTGAGAAAGGGGTGAAAAATTGAGACCTTCTGAGCCTCCTCTGCAGGATTTTTCTGGAACTGCATGAGTCCCAGACCCTCTCCCCCAAGCTCCCCACCCCACCACTTAGAAGGCGGCCTGAGACGTGACCTCCTGCATTTAAACGCGAGATGGCATGGCACTTCCGGCTCCCTTTTCCTGGGGAGCACAGGGACGAGGACTCAGGGGCTTCCAGGAGCCTCTGTGTTCCTCTTTATCCACAGCGTCCATGGGGAGGGGCCACCCCATCACGCCCCCGATTGGGGGGAGCAGCGTCTTCCTAGACGCTCGCCCGGAGTTTGCCGGTGGAGAGTTCTGGAAGGGCTGGCAGCATTCTGCACATCTGGGGTACGATTAGGGTGGGCATTTGGAGAGAGGCTGTTTTTGCTGTGTTTTCCACACCGTGACGACTAGCTGGCACTCACACATTCCACATCCCGCCTGGAAAACCCCATCTGTGTCCCGCTCTTGGTTAGGAACGTGCTCTTGCCAAAGATGTTGGTGACAGCAGTATGGCAATGAATCGGGCCATGATGGTGGTGTAGGGGTCAGGTCCTGCGGCCAGGCACTGGCGAAGCGCGTGGTGTTTGTAGTGGCTCCGTGAATGTGAGAGAAAGTGGCGAGGCCCCCAACGCATCCACACGGGTGCCTGTCCTGGTTCGGTCCCCCAGGGACCCTCCAGCTTGGAGACTGCTGTCATCTCCACTGAGCTGATGAGAAAACCCAGGTCCACAAGGGTCACGTGACTTCCCCGGGGCCTCGGAAAGGCTCGCCAGGGGTTTTATTAACAAATGTGTAGAGCGGACATTGGCGTGTCAAGCCGCGTCCCCCCAGTGGCCCTGTCCCCACCGCTGGCCTGCAGTCTGCCCACCATGCTGCCACACTGCACAAGCCCACGCAGACCCGGTGGGGTCCACGAGCTGGAACCATGACCCCGGTGCACAGAGCCAGGCCCCGCGTCCGATGGTTCCGCCGCATCTGACACTAATAACGGGACCCTCGGCCCAGTTTGCTCCTGGCTCCCTTGGTCTCAGAGAGGGCTAGTCGTTTACCTCGGCTCGGACACGGGCATCGGGGCTCCCGGAAGCCCGCCGTTTGCCCTGCCCCGGATGGCGAGGGCGTGGACTCTCAGGGCTGTCGAGGTGGTGATGGATGCTTTTGATAATTAGACGTCCATTTTCGACTCGATGACTTGATCGCCCTCCAGGAAAGGAGGCCCGGGTGACGGACAGAGTGCGCGAGGGGAGGAGGGCCTCTCGGGGGGCTGATGGCCCGGGGAAGGGAGGAGAGGGCTCAGCCGGCAGGGCATGCTGGGGGCCTGCTCAGAGCGCTTCGGCCACTTGGCAGCCCCACTCCAAGCCTGGCTCAGGCCACTCCGAGCCCTGAGCTCAGTACGGTGACCTCCAACTCCCAGCCTGCTAGGTGACACGTCCCCTGGTCCTGCCATAGACCTGGAAAAGCCTGTTTTGTTTTGTTTGATCTTTTCTGTTCTCCCATCCCGTTTTGATCACGCACACGTACTCCAGAAATAAATAAAATCAATGCCGGCTCCAGCTGCAGGCCTCCAGGGAGGGCGGGCAAAGGCTGTGGCCCAGTGGGGCCCATCTAAGTCGAGGGGCCTGCAGAAGAGCTGGCAGGCGGCAGTCCCGCGCTGGCCCATGAGAACGGGTCAGTGGGGCCGGCCTCTGTACCCGCCCTTCCTCAACTCGCTTACTGAGCCGGAGCCGTGTGCCCGGCACTGGGCGGGGCTCCTGCCTGGCTCCCCCAGGCCCAGGAGCTGCCTCCTCTAGTTGGTGACCCGCTCACGTATTGCTGTTGGCCCCAGGGCTGCAGAAGCCCCTGCCCTGACACCAGGCCCTCGCCCCTGTCCCCTTCCAGGCCCGCTCCTCAGGGACCGTGTTCCCCGACACTGAGGCACGCAGCTCTGACTGCGGACCCTCTGGAGTCCATTGTCCACTTCCCTTCTGTGGGTCTGCGTCTGCCGCGGGAGCCCCAGCCCACTCACAGCAGACAGTAGCAAGGGGACCGGCCACCCCTCGCCCCCCCGGGAAGTCCATGTTCAGAGGGGCGTATCGTCACTGGGACACTGTCCGTCTGCGAGCGAATGAGAGCTCCGCTCATTTTAGTTCCGATACACACGAACCCCGCGGACCGGCGTATCGTCACTGGGACACTGTCCGTCTGCGAGCTCATCTCGTTTTAGTTCCGATACACACGAACCCCGCGGACTGTTTCTCTGCGGGGCCGATCTGGGGCCACCGGCCGCACCCTGCTCCCTTCAGCCGCCCTCCCCAGGCACGCCTGTCTCCCCCCGTCCAGCGGGCAGCTCCCCTTCCCGCGTCTCCCCGTACAGCCCAGGCTCCTAGTGACAGCGGTCCCATCGGGAGGACATGGACAGATGCCCGACAGGCCAAGGGGGAGAGCGCAGGCAGCCGGGCTGCTCGGCTGGTCCCCGAGTGGCGTCCGCTCCCACTGCCGCCCCCGGCCACGTCCGTGCGTCTGGCTGGCGGTGCCAGCTCAACGCCAGACGCCCGTCGCCCTGCCCTAGGCGAGATCGGTCTCTGCACTGAAAGGCAGATGGAGACGGTAGGGACCATTCTCGTGACACTGGCCACGTGGAACCGAGAAGCGGGAGCCCCGGTGTGTGACGGGGACACGGCGCTGGGCGGCGGGTGTGTGAGCTTGCTGGCCTCGTCACTCACCAGAGAAATGGCAGCCGGTTGTATCTTCTATTCTCTGGCACAGGGAGCTTTGTGGATGGGGACGGGGTTGGGGCAGGGACTGGGGCCAGCCCCCGAGGGCAGGCAGTGCCCAGGAACAGAGGGTTATAGCCGGACTTTCTAAGAGGACGGGCCCCATGGGGAGGCCGCCCCAGCCCCCATCAGCCTGGGTGCAGGGTGGGCTGGGGCTGCAGTTGGGAGCAGGGGCCGTCTCGCCCAGGACCCCAAGGGATGTGGCCCCTCGCCCTTCCTTCAGCTGGACCAGAGAGGGACGGCTTATTCACAGAGTGCCGTGCAGGCTGTCGAGACGAATCCCAGCCTCGTCCTGGGCCAGCTGTCCTGCCACCCCGCCCGTCCTGGGAGCTGGCGGAGGGCTGTTGAGTCCCACTGGATGGTGTCAATGTGGGCAGACCTCTCAGACCCTCAGACCACTTGCTCCTCTGTGCTCAGGGCCATGGTCAGAGGCTAACGGGTGGAGTAATGAGCCCCCACCAAGGCGTGCTGGTGACCGAGCGTGTGGTGCGTGTCCAGGGTACGTGGGCTCTCCGTGAACAGTTGTGGTTGTGGCCACAGTGGCTTTTATAAAATGGGTTTTAGCTCACAGTGTGCGGGGTGGCCGGGGCGGCCCCTGTCAGCTGTATCGGTGTAAATGAAGTGAGGTGGCCGGACTCCCGCTGGCCGCAGAGGGACACACGCCGCGGCCACAGCTTTGCCCAGTCCCTTCCCTCCTCTGAGAGAGACACCCCGGTTCTCTCCCGGCCGCTCCCCAGGTGACCCGGGGTGTCGATGAAAAGAATCGTCGGTCTTCTGGAAGCACGCATGCCCAATCGCCCTGGAAGCCGGCGCTTCTTTGGGGCTCCTCCCTGGGGACAGAGCATCAGAGGCTGCACGGGACCCCAGCTGGCTGCAGTGCCCAATGTGCAAATGCCCAGGCTGAGAAACGCTGCCCCCAGGCTCGGCCCCAGCTCGGGCTGGCCTCCAGCCAGGAGCTGGACCCCCAGACGTCTGTAGGGGCCGGTGCGGCTCAGCCCTGCGGGAACATTGGCCAGCCCTGCGGGAACATTGGCCTTGGACGTTGGCTGCAGACAGGAACTCAGAACACACTGCATTGGTGTGTGGGGCTGGGCCCTGAGCTGGGCCCTGAGCTGGGCCCTGGGGGCGGGGGACGCCGGGAGAGGGTCTGGCTCCATGTGTTCACTACGAAGCTACAGGGGTGGTTTCCAGCTCGGCTGGCACATTATAATCTGTGAGCAGATTTAAAAAGTCTTGGTGCCAAAGCCACAACTCAAACCGATTAAGTGAGGACGGCGGGGCTAGAACCCAGACATGGGGCTTTTTAAGCTCCACGGGCGACGTGAAAAGGTCAGGGACGCCTGCGAAGGGCCGAGCGGGGATGGTCAAGTCCGTGGTGAGCGGCTCCAGCTCCCGGCCAGAGCATCCGGCCTTGCCCGCCCTTAGAACCACCTGGAAGCCTTAACCAAGCACGAAAGCCTGGCTCAGCCCAGCGGCGGGCTGTCGTTGTTCCGTGGGAAAGCTCCTGGGGCCCTTGGATGCGGCAGGGTGACGACCGTGGGGTCCAGGCCGCTAGGACCTCAGCCCCAGCGGTTCTGTGGGGGAGGCCAGATGGCCGGAAGGAGTCCTGGGGGTGACAGGTTCCACCTGAGCTTGGGACTTGGGCGGGAGGGGAGGAAGAAAGGCTTTTGGGTACGGAGATTCGAGGGCACACCCGAAGGACGGGAGCCCACGGTGGCCTCCTCACAGGTCCCTTGGGTGCCAACTCCGTGCCTCTCTGCTGCTCAGGGCGGCTTCTCCTAGGTGACTGAGAGCCCCAAGGCCACAAGCTGGTTGTTGAATGTTTAGTCCTGTGCTAATTTTCCATTCCCCTCCCCGTTGCATTTTCCAGCAGCGTCGTGCCCTGTGTCCAATTTGCCGATTTACAGGAGAAAAAGGCAGTTTAAAAACCCTTGGTAGTTTGATGGCGAGTCCACCCGTTTCTGCCCACAGAAAGGACATGCTGGACCCTGGGGGCACAGAGGCACCCCAGACCCAGCCCCACTGGCAGAGACCCAGTCGAGGGGAGGCGGAGGTTTCCACACATTGAAGAGCATCTCGGGGATGCGATGGGGGGGTCAGGCGAGGAGGGGTCGGGGGCGGGGCCATGTGAGCTGAGTGTGCAAGAAGCAGTGAGCTCCCCGTCCCAGGAGGTGGCCATGTCGGGCACGAGGGCCAGGCTGGGGCTTTGTGGCCGGGGGACGGCGGCAGGCGGGGGTCTGCACACGCCCCGTTCTGACCCGTGACCACAGCGCTGGACCGCTGGGGCTAAACATACTCAAAGCCTCGAATGCGACCCAGTTTTTTGTTTTTCTAAATCTCGTTAAAAACAAAAAGCATATCTGAATGGACGTCTTGGGAACAAGGTTACGATTTTTAAAATCTCCTAACGCACGTACAGTGCTGCGTCAGAGCCGCTTTGTCCTCAGTCCCCAGCCCCCACCCCCGGCCGGCAGCAGGGCCCTGACAGTGACAGTGACGGTAACAGTGACGGGCGGGCGGAGCAAGCAGCGTGGGCCTGGCTGTCCCCCGATTCACCGCCTCGCTTCCCAGTTTGCGCCCGTATTGGTTGAAAATGACTAAAGCATTCTGTACAAAGTCTAGACAGTTTTGAGTCAACTGGCATTTAAGGAACAAATCGAACTCTCTCCCGCCGTCACCCAAACGCTGGCCGCTGCTGAGTGCGTCTCGGTCGATTTCCATAATCAGTGCCTTCGAGAAGTCCCTTCTTCTCGGAGAGGCACTTCCCCCTCCCCCTTCCCCGCCCCCCGGGTGTGACAAAGAGCGATGACACTCACAGCGTCCCGAATGCCAGCCTAACGGCATTCTGCCCGGCAGACGGGCTGATTCCGTGCAGCCGCTCGGACCGCGTGGTGCGACAGGCACGGTGCCCGCTGGATAGGGAGGCTGCCCTCTCCGGCGACCTTGACAGTGGGTCACACGGAAACGAGAGCTTCCGGTGCTGTGTCCTCATCCGGGGCCCAGGCAGCTGCGCCCTCTTCAACGCCGTCTTGCTGGCCTGGGGTTTTGTGCATTGATGGGGACCTTTTCATCCCCAAACAGGTGTGAACACCTACTGCGCGTCCTTAGCTGGGGGAGGGCTGTGAACGACAGACGTGCCCGTGTCCCCACGGCCCGCAGGCACCCCAACGGGGGGCTCACGTGGACTGCAGAGCGGCCGCGGCCCAGGCCCACAGGAGGCCAGCGCGCCCCGGCTGCCCATCCCCACACCCCCGCCCCGGCCTCTCTCCCTGGGGGGAGCAGGGTGCCCCGAGGGTTCGGGGAAGGACGTGCCGTCCCCATCGCTCTCTGCGGTCCCCCAGATCGCCCGCTGACGCTCCGCTCTCCCTGCAGGTCTGGTACATGGACGGCTACCACAACAACCGCTTCGTCCGCGAGTACAAGTCCATGAGCGACTTCATGAGCACGGACAACTTCACGTCACACCGCCTGCCGCACCCCTGGTCCGGCACGGGGCAGGTGGTGTACAACGGCTCCATCTACTTCAACAAGTTCCAGAGCCACATCGTCATCCGGTTCGACCTGAAGACAGAGACCATCCTCAAGACGCGCAGCCTGGACTACGCCGGCTACAACAACATGTACCACTACGCCTGGGGCGGCCACTCGGACATCGACCTCATGGCAGACGAGAACGGGCTGTGGGCCGTCTACGCCACCAACCAGAACGCCGGCAACATCGTGATCAGCAAGCTGGACCCCGTGTCGTTGCAGGTGCTGCAGAGTTGGAACACAAGCTACCCCAAGCGCAGCGCGGGCGAGGCCTTCATCATCTGCGGGACCCTGTACGTCACCAACGGCTACTCGGGGGGCACCAAGGTGCACTACGCCTACCAGACCAACGCCTCCACCTACGAGTACATCGACATCCCCTTCCAGAACAAGTACTCCCACATCTCCATGCTGGACTACAACCCCAGGGACCGCGCCCTGTACGCCTGGAACAACGGCCACCAGATCCTCTACAATGTCACCCTCTTCCACGTCATCCGGTCCGACGAGTTGTAGGGGCCCCCGCCCGGAGGCCGAGCGGCCGGGTCGTCCCCCACGTGGGCCTTCCCGGGAAGCAGCTGCCGGAACGAATACCGACGACAGTAGTCCTACCAAGCGTGAAACTCATCAGCATCGTGGGGCCCGGGGTCGCTGAGGCCGTGACCCCCGAGTCTCTCCGGCTCGGGCCGGAGGCCGGCGGATTTGGGAAGAAACCCGTCTTTGCAGCTGGAACTGCAGCCCAGGGC